GGCTCCTGAGCCTGTTAACCCCCCCCTGGTGGGCCCAGCAGCTGGCGTAATGGCTGTGTCACTGGACTCCCATGTAGACGACCGTGGTTCGCATCCCAGACCAGGTGGCTTAAACTCATGCCGGGCGCGTGTGCGTGCGTGCCCAAGATCCCAAGAGGAGACTGGAGGAGAAGGGATTGCGGCGTGACCATCCCCCCTGGGGGTGATTTCTTACTTTCTGTCTTTCTGTCTCTGTCTGTCTGGCTGGCAAGCACACGCACCCTATAGCGAAAACCTCTCCAAAATAAAAAACTTCCCTTGCATCAGCTTTCTCAGCAAAGTGGAATTTAAATGGGAAAAGGGGAACATTACACGTACTCACAAAGGGAGTGGCTCCCGCACAGCCTCGCCCGCCCAGAAGGAGCCGACAAACCCACGTGTGCATGGAGCAGTGAAGAGCGAGCTGCGGCCCGGCGGCCGGTGCCCGGAGACCTCCACGTGTCTCCTACCGTCACGAGGGGCCACGCTGCGTGCCGGTCCGCCTCCCTCGGCCCCTCTGCCCCAGCCCAGCACAGGCAGTCAGTGCGGAGCCCGGCCCACCTTCTCGTCACTCACGCCGTCATTGTCATCGTCGTCGTCACAGGCGTCGCCGACTCCATCCTTGTCAAAATCTTCCTGCCCGGAATTGGGCAGGTGGGGGCAGTTGTCCTGTTATTAGAGAAGAGTCGGGAGTGGGACAGCACAAGGTGGCCGCACTGGGCAGACACGTGCCGACACCTGTCCCCGACGGAGAGCCCAGGAGTGGGGCCCATGTTCCGAGGCCTGCCCTGAGCGGATCGTCCCCGCCGGTCGGATGAGAGAAGTCCGGCCCAGAAGCCAGGCAAGGGCCAGGTACCCGCAGAAGTAAGGAAGCAGTCAGGGACACTGCTCATAGGAGGAGCAGAGACAGAGATGGAAAGAGAGACAGAGACAGAAAGAGACTGCCTTGTTCAGCTACTTCCAAGCCCTCTTCCCCTCTCAAGCTGTGTGTGTGTGCGTGTGTGTGTGCGTGTGTGCGTGTGCGTGTGTGTGTGTGTGTGTGTGCGTGTGTGTGCACGTAAAAGGAATTGGGGGAGGACCAGCAGATGGCGCAGGGGTTACATTGCTGGACACCCACATGGCTAAGGCTTGAGTTCTGCACCCGGTGGTTTGAAACTCATGCTGGGCACGTGTGCGTGCATGCCCAAATTCCTGAGAGGAGAAGGGAGGTGAAGGGATTGTGGCGTGGCCATCCTCTTTGGGAGGTGACTTCTCACATTCCCTCTCCCTGTCTCTGTCTCTCTCAGGGAAGTGCATGCGTCCTACAGCAAAAACCTCTAAAAGAAAAAGAAAGAGAAACCGGGAGATTATGATGCGTCATTCCTGAAGGTACTAAATCCCGTCTGAAATTCGACAAGAATGGAAACAGCTAGCGCCCTTGCAGGGCTCGGCTCAGCTGAGCGAGCGCACGGGGTGTCAGGCCGGGCAGAGCAGCCCTGCGGCCGGGGGCAGCGTGATGGCCCAGCGCCCGCCCAACCGTTGCGGACGTGTGTCGTTGTTCACCTCGGCCGGCTGCCACCGCTCATCGAGGGCGACTGGAAGAGGAGACGAAACTGGACTCTCCTTCACTAAAACCCGTGGAGTGTGTCAGACACACCGGCGTACTCGTGTTCTCGAGCAGTGAGGGCACGAGAGCAGAGCCGAGCTCCCAGGACAGCCGGTGCGGACGACTGAAGGGTCCCCGACATGCCTGTCCTGCCCTCACTGGTGCCGTGGAGGGGACAGGGCGGAGAAGTCCTGATGTGGCAGACGACGCCATCAGGTGTGGTTGCTGGTCCTGCCCCAGACGGGCCTGAAGGTCCTCGTGGAGAGGCAG